AAAAAAAGTTTCATATCCATTAACTAACCACTATGAATTAGCAAATTGCCCAAGTCTAGTCACAAGCCAAACAAATCAAACTTTATATGATCGAGATGATACAAAATTCGACACAAATAGCATTACCATATTCCTAAAGCATATTATGCATGCATGCATGGTTACATACATATATACATATAGTGATACACAATCATATATGTATCTATGTATGTATATAAAACAAAAAGTATATATGTGTATATGATTCTATATATCAATCATATATTATTCTGACTTCTAGCCATAGGTATATATAATTACTATATGTATATATATAAATCTATACAGACAAGTGAGATAAGGGGTCCATAATAAGTGTGGAATGGACTTGAGAGATCTGATTATGATCGTAGGGTCGTAGATCATCATCCACCGTCGGATGCGCTCCATAGCAGTCCAGGGAAAAGTCTAAGCCGCCGTGAGGGTCGGCGCCGGCGCCGTCGTAGCAAGGGTAGAAGGGTTGGGTGTCGGCCAACATGTCGTCGAAGGAGGGGATGATGTGGGAGATGTCCACGGCGGATGGGGTGGTGGTTTCGAGCGGCGGCATGTGGAGGAATTGCGGCGGCGGCGGCGGCGGTGAGTTTTCGTCGGCGCCGGCGCCGGCGAGGAGGATGTTTTTTGTTTCTCCGGCGAGGTGGTGTTTGGACGAGGAGGATCTTCCCATGTAGGTGAGTATTTGGTCGAGAACGCCGTCGTTTCGCTGGTGGTGGGTCTGAGGATGATGTTGATACTCCATGGCCGCCTTGTGGTAGAGTTTCTTCTTGAAAACTTTGCAGACCACCCAACCTTCTTCTGGACCACTACTCATCTCCCCTACCAAATTTGTACCCTGCATATAATCATTATAATTAATTAATTTATCAAAAATATTTCGTATTTTACAAAAATTCTTGATTACAATGCTAATCCATTATATTATATTTGTAATACCAAAAAACTAGATAAATTAAATAAAGTTAGTCCTTTGAAACTAGAATAAAAAACAAAAAACCCTCAATTAGGGTTTCATTATTTACCATAATAGAAGGATAATTATGTGCTAATTTCTAATGGTCCGACCACTAATAATGAAATTATTAACGGCAAAAATTTGTCTGCATGGGCAGCTCAACTTGTCATAGGGGTGAAAATTGAAAAGAATGACCAGGATCGAGTTTCACTAGTGGTACTGAAGGAACTCTTTGTGTGCAGTAAGCAAGGGTCTAGCTTACCAACTCGGCTGAAATTGGGTACTCTTTTTAAGGTAATAACTAAAAGGGAAAAAGTTACATCACGTGGTTTTATCTTTATAGATGCAATGTCAAACATTGTTTGAAGGACCAGACAAAAAAAAAAAGCAAATGTAAAAGGCAGATTGAGGGCTTGCTTACAGTGACATTATCATGGGAGGTATTGTCGTCCAACCTATATTCATGCATGATCCAGTCGGATTTCTGGCCACGAGGAGCTCGACCTTTGTAGAACACTAAGGTTTTCCTCAGACCAATTCTTCTAGAATTGGAGTGTATCACTTTGTCTCGCCCGGTGGCCTTCCAGAATCCGGCAGCCGTCGCTCGATTTGTCCGACTTCCGGTCGGATACTTCTTGTCTTTGTGGCTGAAGAAGTACCACTCATTCTGTGGGGTTGATCCTATCTTACACTTCTCTGAACCATAAACACAATTAATTAATTAATTCCACCAATATAATACCATAATATATGCTTAATTAAACTCTTCTCCCAAAAAGATCTGCCCTTTTTGGACATAATCCCTACACTGCCATTGTCGAGGTTCAAACCTTAATTTGATCTCTTTTCCAAATACTATTTAATTTACTGAACCAATGAGCTAATCTCGTGTGTACATACTTAATTAAACTCTTGACTACATGAATGTTGAATTGGCTAAAGAAGCATGGTCTGCAGCTACCCTGGTACTAAAGCACACATTAAGATAAGATACCACAAATGTTTATTTGGTAACTAAAATTGCAATTGGTTTGGATAAACGATAGCTAAAGTTATTGGAATGTTTTATTGCTCTAATCGTACAAATTTCAGTGGTTTATTAGGCGAGATTCTAAACTTATCCATCCCGGATAACCCTAAAGTAGCAATATTTTAAGGTGGAAGCTAGGAATAATGAAAGAACTAATATATGGTGGGAGGCTCCTATCTCAATTTGAAGGTAATAAGAGGAAATTAAAGCAATTGATGAAGCTAGCTAGGGTGAAAATTAAAGCAGAAGTTGAGAAATAATTAGAGAGAAAATTAAATTAATTACCTTGAATATCCCAAGGTTCAAGCTTGTTAAGATCAACTTCAGGAATAACATCAAGATCAATCTTGTGGGAGGCAACCTTCTTCCTCAAGTAATAGTGAAGAAGCTCTTCCTCGGTGGGATGGAACCGGAATCCAGGAGGCACCTGGGACTCACCATTAACACTTAGATTCATGTCTGATATGATCTTCAATTCAATTCCGAGGTTAACTATAATTTAGTTTTGTTGCTGCTGATGATGATGATGATAATTAATTAAGGAAATTAGTAGCTCGGCAATAGCTAAGGAGAAGAGGAGGATAAGTATTGGTGAGGATGGGAGGGATGGAGAAATGGTGGGGGAGACATGATGATTTATATGCAGTTGGGTTCGGACATAAAGGCTCCAAAAATATGCATGAAAAAGGTTTTCCATCCTATATTGTGGTCAATAGTGTACTTAATTTGCACTAATAATGGGGCCTTTTCCTACCTCTCAACCAAATATTTTTTTTAAAATTAAAAAATTAAAATTTATACAAATCAACCACCGCCACACCACATAATCAAAAAAGACAAAGAAATATGGTAACTACTCTGTGCATACTAGAAGCTGCACAAGGGGACCGAATGAGAGCTAGGGAGTTTGATTCAAGTTATATCTATACTATACTAATAATAACCAATAAAGTTAGATTTGTAATTAGAATTTTTTTTAAAAAATGTTTGTCTAATTATTTGATGAAATAAATGGTTCAAATTATTTTGATTTTAGTATTTTTATTTGATATTTCTATTTTACCTTTTATTATACCATTTACTTTTCCTAAATACTCATGCACTCCGTCAGTGTAAACTTTAGTAACAGAATATTTCGTATATTCTTAACTTACTCATTAATTTTCATAAGGAAAGTCTTATGTTCGAACGTTATCCCAATCAAAGTTGTCATATTTAATTGTTGAACATATACTATGAATATGTTAGAGTGTATAAAAAAATACAAAATAAAATTTAACATAAAATAATATTGAAGCAAGTTCTAGTAAGCCAACCAATGTGGCAATGCCGGAATTTCATGTAAACTTTCACTGGCAAAGCACTAACTACTAGATTAAGAATTAGTTCAATTATTATGTGATTAACAAGAATATTGGCAAGTGAATAGCTCAATTGTGTGTTACACCTTGATTTCATCAATAGTACATTGGAATGTAACAAGTTCCATCAAAATAATCCACAAACCAACAAAGAAGGAGTAATAATCACAACTACAAACATAGATAAGCAATATAATTTATCCAACACTAAACACAATGAATCATCCAAGCAAAACATAGAGGGAGTGCTAAAATGCAGGACATTTATTCTACTCACACTAATACTCTCTTCCCCTCACATTTCACTAAAATAATCAATAACCACAAGAAGAGGAAAACTCAAAACAAAACAATAAAAATATAAAAGTGAACTAGTCTCCTAGAATCAATCTTTGCTAATGTCAACACAACCTCATTCCCCGGCAACGACGTCGATTGATTGTATTACAAAACGACGAAAAAATATCCGAAGTATTCTGAGGTTATCGATCCACAGAGAATGGTGTGCTAAACACTAACTCTGATTGATTCTTGTAAAGTTAGTTCAATCATATATAACAAGGTTAAAGGTGACGAAACTATATAAATCTGAGATATATGAGATGCAACAAATGTAAAGTATATGGATCAGGTCAAATGTCTATTTTGAGCCAAACTAAGGTAAAAAAGTAGTTCTATCCCTGATGAATGGAGGAATTGCACTAAAGTACCCGGCCTGGTGCCACTCCCATAATCTACCCAAGTGTACTAACCTGCAAGTTCTCTGCACTCGTAGTTTACAAGCAAAGCTAGTCCATAATAAACCTAAGCAATTCATCTTACCCACACTCAAGTTAATCCTACAAGTTGTGAGAGATTACACTAAGGCAATCTAAAGACTAATCCCTAAATTCCTACCTGCTCCCACGATATAAAATTAAGGGTGTGTTTGGTTCGCACATGGAAATCGGAATTGGAATGGGTATCAAATACTTGCTAATGGTAATGAGTTTTAGTGAAAGTATTTTGCATGTTTGGTAGTAGGGTGGAATGGGAAGATTTTCAATAATGATGTTTGGTTATGTATGATCCTATAATGAGAATAAAGATTTTAAAAATATATACAAGAACACAAAATCAAGACAATTGATTCTAATATAAAGACATCTGAAACACCAATATGAACAAAAAAAATAATAAATCTAAAAGTACTAATCAAAGGGGATGAGAAGGAATAAGGGGATGATACCCTTATTTTATTTGGGTATGTCTTTTTCAATTAAGGGTGTATTTGAACAATCATTATTACATGGACTATGGTCCACCATAAATAAAAAGTACATTTTTAATATGCTAAGGGTACATTATTAATGTACGTAAGGTACATTTTTTTAAAGTACATTTCTAATATACTAAATGTACATTATTTTATATAATGTACCTTCAGTACAAAAATAATGTACATTCAATACAAAAATAATGTACTTTTAATATATTAAAAACGTATATGATATTCATGGTCCACACAATTGTGTGGACCATGGTTCACACAATAATTTGCCCGTATTTGAAACTCATAGTAGTGTTCTAAAAACTTATCAACTAAACAATACCAATCACTTTGATACCATTCCTTAGAGCTAAACCTGTCAACCAAACACACCCTAATAAGTTACTTAAAAACATCCCTTAAACCAAAATTTCCAAACTCCTTCCTAAGTCCTAAGCTCAATATCAGGGGATAAACATTCAACATAGATACAAATCCATTCTATGTAAGATGCATGAATCAGTGAATTTAAATTCAATCAATATGTGTTTGTTATATATATGGTGGCAAATTATTGTCTTGAAGATGGTCCACATAGCTGTATGGACCATGAATGCAATATACATTTTTAATATGCATAAAGTACATTATTTGTGTACTGAATGTAAATTATTTGATAATAAAAAAAAATTATGTACTTTCAAATAATGTACTTTATGTATACAAATAATGTACTTTTAAGTATATTAAAAATATACTTTTTTATTCATGGTTCACACAAATATGTGGACTATGGTCCGTGGAATAATGATTGATATATGGTTTAGTTTATTCAATTGGCTATTACTCGAAGAAAATGACTGTTTAGCAACAATCCAGAAATTGTCACTAAAAATGCTTCTTTTTTTCTTCAAGACTTTAATTATTGTAGAATTTTTCGAAGAGTTTGAATTGGTTCCTTTGAAAAACAACTCTGATAATCATTTGCCGAGGAGATTCCTAGCTAACTAGTGATGACAATGCAACATTAGGGCGTGTTTGGTTCATGGGTTTAGGTATCAGTAATGAAACTTAAAGTGATTGTTATTGTTTGGTTGATAGGTTTCTAAAACACTATTATGGGATTTAATTACCCCTTAATTAGAAAATTCATTCCCTAATAAAATAAGGATTTCATTCCATTATTCTCCCTCCTAATTAATAATTTGATTTTTAAGTTTGGATTAGTGCTTTTAGATTTTTGTTTTTATTTTTATTTTTTGTTCATATTGGTACTTTGGATGTCTTTATATTAGAATAAATTTTCTTGATTTTTTGTTCTTGTATTTTTAAAACCTTTGTTCCCATTATATGATCATACATAACAAAACAACAATATTGATAATCATTCCAATTCCACCATACTACCAAACATGTAAAATACTTTCACCAAAACTCATTGCCATTACCAATTATTTGATTCCATTCCAATTTTAATTCCCATGTGCAAACCAAACACACCCATATAGTTTGTTGCTAAATTTGTTGCCTTCCGTGTTTGCCAGCCATGTCATTTAAATATTCATTTGCAACAAATCTAGTTCGTTGCTAAGTTTGTCTCTAAATTTAATTTTAAGTCCTCGTATGTTTTTTTATTTAAATTTATAAAATTATTACCTCTTTCTTGTTATCAAAATGTGGAGAAATAAAGTTATACCAGATCACAAGTTATGCAAGAAGGCAAGAAGCTTCTTTAGAAATATGCAATAGGTTCAACCGAGAGAATAATATTGACAAGAATTAAACTTGTAACCTTCAGATATGAGAATTATACTTCACGCATTTGGTCACCATTTCGAGACTATATTTTTTGTTTTAGCCTTATTCATTATTTGTGTGTCAGTTGGCCCTGCATAATAAGTTTTGAGTATTGTCTTCACACAAAACTAATGATTTTTTTAGGTATCTTGTGTCTCTATTGTTTATGCTTTTCAATGTGTTACTTTTTATGAAGAAAAAATTAAAGGGATGACCGATTGGTGTTGAGTTATATCAGGTACAAATTGATTGTATTATGTATTATCAACACTTAGTATTAATTAAATCTAGTACAACCTATCATACAAATAATTATACATCATCATTTTACGTCTTTTGAAATTGTAAATTTTCCTTATTTGTAATCTAATTTTTTTACATGATGAACATATATATGTTTACTCATGGATTTTTTTTAAGTGGGAATGTGGTCCTACACAAAGGTATAGGGTATAGGTGAATGGTTTCCCTAGTCAAGTGGGTGGGGTAAGAGTACATCAAGAGAAATCTGACCCTTGAGCTTAAAATCTTAAGAAAAGCAACCTTAAACCAACACTATACCTCTTGTCAATAATGGTGTTAGTTGCGAAAGGGAGAGAGAGAGAAAGGGAGAGAGGGAGATTGAACTTTCATTTCAAGGGACAGAAGGCCATCATGGTTTATGGAAAGATAGACAAGAGTCAACATTGACTTATGTGAATGAAGGAGACATAATAAGGATAATATTAAACTGGGTAGGGCAGTGTGCCTTGTTACATAATTAAATTTAGTTAAACTTTCGTTTGATATCATTGAATTTAATAATAGCATAAATTTAATTATTATTATGTTCTAATAAAGTCCAATACTTAAACCTAACAGGTAGGGTAGCTCAAGTGGCAAATGAGCTCTCTTTGTGGGGAAGAATTCTAGGATAACCTGCGTTTGATTCCCACGAGTGTTGATTCCCTTTGGGCTAGTTTTTGTGCCTCTCAGAGCGAACCGGGTGGGCCTGGACCGTTAAACGGACAGAGAAAAAAAATTGGGCATTAACCCATTCGTGCAATGCGCTTGAAAAACTAGTGTGTGTGTATATATATATTCAGTTCCCGTGCGATTGTCCAGAATTAATAAAAAAAATGCGATGGTAATTTTTGCATCTATGTCAAATTTAAAGCGCGTGGTTTTCCTTCTTAATTAGGTGCATAGTTTTTGTGCTTAAGGTGCGTGGTTTGTGTACTTAAAGTGAGTAGTTGTTGAAACTTAAGGTGC